CTGGTCAACTTCAGAATCTATCCGCCAACTTTCTATAAACATATTTGCCGCTACTAGTGATACATTGCCTTGTCCAGCTGTCTCTCCCATTCCAAGATTACATTTACATTTTCATTCACCGGCTTTGCCTGCGTTGACATCGCTACTATGTCGAGCTTCTACTTGGACGCTGGCTTCCATCCGGCCCGCCGGGCCTGCTCCTTGTCAATGGCCTCCTTCTCTTCCAGATACGTCTCCAATGTCGTGGGCGCTGTCGTACCCCAAACTCTCCACGGCGCCGCCTCGAAGGTGACTGCGTTGACCTGCCTTGAGAGCACCACATATTCCACCTTGTCCTGGATCTTGACGCTTCCGGGGATAGTCTCTCCGGTGGAGGCGTCATATCGGGACACCTGCTGGGTGGACGCAATGGCAACGACCGCCTGCTCAGTCATGAGGTTCTTGTCATACATGTTGATCTGGTGAATCTGGTGGGCCGTCCTCTTGGGGTAGAAGAGCGGGCTGTTGTACTTGATCACCTCGAAGCGGACTCGCTCTCTGGGATTCCGGCGATCGATGGCCGCCATGAGCTTCTTTGCAAAGTCGCTGACGCAAATCCTCTCCAGCGTCGCTTTATCCCCCGCGGCAAACGCTTCGAGAACTTCCTGGTAGAGCGCCTTGGCCGTGGGCGCGATCTTGCCGCGCCGAGCTTTCCACTGGGGTCGAGTCGTCCAGTTGGGCATGGATTTCAGCTTGAAGTTGAGCAAAGAGACAGTCTCAATCACCCAGTGCCGTAATCTGTGCCATTGGTATTGCGCAAAGTCCGCGGGGTTCAGCGGCAGGCGAGACAGCGGAAGGGATACGAAGGTGCCTAGAGCCCAATTTGTGATGTCAGTCGAGAGCCAGCGAGTCACAGCAAGTCATCACAGGTCATGAGTCGGTCCCCGGGTAGAGATTGAGCGCAAAGAGCGTGCGAACCTGGAAACAGCGGCCCCCCTCCATCCTTGAAGTACTCTGCGTTTGCCATCTTCTGCAGCTGCGAGATGCTCTGCTCCTTGGTCATCTTGCTGGAGCCTGCACGAGCTGCCCGATCCATTTCCCTCATTGTCTTGCTGCGCGAGGGCTGTGTTGCATATTGCCGGACCATCTGCGCTGCCAATGGCCTTAAGGCGCATCTTGGAAGAGTGTTTGCTGTGCCATAACGGAGAGCCGGCGCCGCAAGGGAACGAATTGTGGGAGCGTGAGACATAGTGGCGAGTTGGCGAGCCGGACAGTAGAATATCGAGTCGGCCCTCAGCAATCTTGTATTTTTTCGAGCCCCGGAAGAAAATGTTAACAGGGGTTTACGTCGCCATCGCCAGCGTCATCCTACGGAATTCGACCTCTTCAAAATGCCGGCATGGCGTTGAACTTTTGTCAATGACGGCGCAAAATGGGCGGATCAACGATAACCCGAAAGCCGGCGCACTTGTCTCTCTCTCTCTTCTCTAGACTCCAGGCAAACCTTCAACTCCCGATTAAGGGCCGAGCATCGCTGCTTTTTGCGTATTGGATCGAGCAGGACAGTCCCGGAGCTTCTCTGCTGCTTAATCCGTATAGTCCGGAATCTCTCATGTCACTACACTTCAGGTGAGCCGATTGGCTCGTCCGCTGTTATTCTGCCAGCTCGAGATATTCAGCCAAGGCGGCTTCTCTCCCGCTCTCGCTCTGCCCGTCATGATGAGAGCCACGCAGCCCATGCTCGCCAGAGGGTTCCTGGCGCGGAGCTTTGACGAGCTCAAGAGGCGCTCTAGCATAGGTACAGTGCCCTGCCCAGAAGCATCCCGGATCGTGCAATCGTGTACACCATCTCGCCGCACCGTAACAAGAGGTCGACGATGTACATCAACTCCACACGGCTCGGCTAACGTTTACGTCGCCAGCCTGGAACCTCGAGGCTGTCAAAGGCCCTTCAGGCCCCCGCGAACTGTACGACTTTCACAGCGCTGATTCCGTTAGCAACTGCGTCGTTATGTCCGACACGCTGATCGGCGGCTCCTCCACCAGCCATCTCGACTTCATCCCTGCCACGTCTTCATCTTCGATGCAAACCTCGGCCTCGGCCTCAACCACGCCCCCGGTTCCCTCCTCTCATGCGCGTTTCTACGGCCACATCTCAACCTCACTGCCCCCCGATCGCCTGGCAATCCAGCGAACGGGCTATGCTGCATTTCGGACCCCGGATCAGCCGCCCACAGCCTTTGGTCGCTCTGTCTGGGATATTGATCCGTACACCTATCTTGCATTGCGAGTCAAATCCGATGGAAGAGCGTACTACGTCAATGTTCAGACGGAGAGCGTCGAGCCGACGGATCTGCACCAGCATCGGCTGTTTGCCAAGCGTCCTGGGCAGTGGGAGACGGTCCTGATTCGATGGAATGATTTTGTACGCACAAACCACGGCTTCGTTGTCGAGCCCCAGACGGAGCTCCTAAGACAAAGAGTCCACAGTGTTGGTATCGGGCTGACGGATCGCGTGGAAGGGCCCTTTGAGCTTTGCATTGAGCGGGTGTGGGCCACAAACGGAGCGGAAGAGAAGGCTGCGGCGCAGGAAACCCAGGAGGGGGAACTGAAGAATAGGAAAGGCGAGAAGATTCAGTGGTGAACAATAGCAGCACGTACGCGGACTGTGCCCTGGAGGAAAAAGAACTATAGGACTCTCAATGGCGAGAGCTTATGCAGGACGCTCGATTTGCAGCCAAGGAAGTATACGATTGACTGGCGCTCTGTTGGCTCCAGTCGACGGCTCCTCATATGTGCCGGTCGCGGTGTTCGTTACTACCTCATAGCAAAATCTTTGCCTAGGCTTGGCTTGTTAACCTTCTGGCGCACGCGCTGGGCCAGCCTTAAGCCCTGATGCAATCGAACCGAAACTGGCTTTGATCAACCTGCTCCACGACACTGCAACTAAATAAATCCCAGACGAGGCGGCTCTACTCTATTTTACGTATGTACCTGTATATCCATGTCCTGAAAATACTACTACCCCCCTGAATACTAGGTACTACCTACTATCACTTATCTGTCTCGTGAGAAGTCGGGTAAGGTAAGACGATGAATAGGTAGTCGCTACCAAAGACAAAAGAAAAGAAGAGTCGTAGTGCGAGCTGGGCATTCAATGTAGTGCAGTATGTGTGTGACGTTGTGATTCTTTGAACTCTGATGGGTATCATTAACCTTGTGTCGAAATCAGGCTTGGGCCTGCTACCACGGCTCTCCTATGCTACCTATAAACCATTGCCAAACCATTCCAGATTCCGTTTCCCTTACCAGTATTGTACAAGCCTGTATGCAAATGCGATGCCAAATCAAGGCCAGAAAAGAAGAAGATGATGATGATGAAAGAAAGAAAGACCCGT